GAGGGAGAAGCAGGCTCCCCGCTGAGCCGGGAGCCCAATGTGGGACTCGATCCCAGGACTCCGGGATCATGACCTGAGCCGAAGGCAGTCACTTAACCACCTGAGCCACCCAGGTGCCCGAAAGAGAAGGTTTTAAAACACTACTTGTAGGGTAGCATTTCACTGCCCATATTAGGCCAAACATTGGCTTTGGGGAGAATCAAACAGATGAATAAATGTATTATCTGGGTGGCAGGATTTTACTGATATGAAATGTGCTCCCCTACCTTTTGGTTTACAATCCAGTCTTTTAGAAAACACTTAAAATTCTTACTCTGAAAAGCATTTCTAAAATTTAAAGCTTGTTGCCTGCAAGTACTTAAGCAATCTAATTTCTTTTGAAACACATTTTGGTTATAGTTTCATAGGTAAACATAAGCCTTCAAAGACTTATATGATGCTTTCACCAGCAAAAAGTACTCTAAACTTTGCAAATACTGAACCAACATACTGCATTAGTCAGTTGAAAGCTGAAGGATACTTACATATGTCTGGGACTATAAATTATATCTGTTTTATATAATTATATATGTTTTCTTCCAGACTATACAAATGACCAAGGCAAGAGCAATCAGAAATTATGCTTCATGAAATCAGGACTAAAAGATAAATCTAAGTCAGACAGTATTCCTATGTAAAATGGTCTGGAGACTAAGCTAGTAGTGAGTACACATTCAGCGCTCAACCGACAAACCCAAATCACGTTCAGCAAATCATTTAGACTTTTCCTAATGTATGACACACTCAGAGGTAAAAATCCAAGGAGGATCTCCAACTCTCTACTACTTCTAATAGCCCCTGAAGATGGTTCAGAAATTAGTGTGCTGGGTTTCCTGCTCCAGAAACCTCGAAAACAATAAGGCTTTTCAGAATGGACAGACCACATGCATACAACTGTCTATCTGATCCTCTTGGCAGAACATTATCATTACTCAAAAGCACTCGTTAATAGTTATCCCTTTATAGCATGAACACAGATCTCTGCAAAACAAACTAGAACAATGAAGCCAATCAACTATTTCTGTTAAAAAAAAAAAACAAACCACAAAGCAACCAAACAAAAAAACAACACTACCAAAGAACACACCAATGGATGATTTTGGGTACAAAAAGACCGAAGAGCTAGAAGATGAAAAAACCATTGAGCCAGAATATAATAATCTGTAGGCAAACTTAAAAGAGTTTGTGGCTGATCTGCTAACGATACTGCATGCAATGGATAAATCAGGTTTATAAGAAATTCCTTCCTATTTGGGCAAATCAAGTCTTACAGGAAAAATGTCTCATGAACTATGTAATGAGCAATACAGAAACAGTAAAAGGAACAGGGAGTTACAATGAAGACGGCTGCTTCTTCACTCACACAGCACTACAATTCCTTAACCTCAATTCCAAAATTCACAGTTTTCCTGTAGAACTTTGGCAACAAAACCAGATCTCACTTGGTGATACTATTTATAATCTTAATTTGGCCCATTTAATACAAACATTTACATATATTTTGCTTCAGAAAACGTGCTAGAGTCTGCAAGGGGTGTTACATAGTATATGCCACACCTACTATACTTCTTTTCTAAAATCCGAAAAGTTCTGAATCCCAAAACACATCTGGTCCCAAGGGTTTCTAATAAGGGACTGTGGGCTCATAGTCCTTTTCCTTCCTATGTCCAAAGGACAATTTAAAGGCATGAGATGATGATGCCATAATAGTAAGAGCTATTACAACGTTACAGTTAAAGAACATGATAAATTTACAGCTAAACTCATTTTCCCAGCTAATCCAGAAATGTGGTACTATTAAACGTCACTAAAAACTGGCACATGGATATTATCACCTCATTAGTTTCGTACTTCTTCCCATGTCCCTGGCCCATTAATTCAAAATCGTTAAACCCCTTAAGCTGGTAATAAACCCACAAAAGTCACATTGAGGGAGGCATGTGAATTGTGTACTCAATGCTCAGAAATTATTTCTAAAAAATACGTCATGGAGTAATCAATATTCTTAATTCAACACCTTGGAAAGAAAATTCTGAACCTCGGTCTTGTCCAATAGAAAGTGAAAAGACAGGCTAACGCATCTTGTGCTCTCCAACCTCACAGAAAGCTTAGTGATCACGTGTGCTATGGTTAGTCCACTGACAAAGCTGTCATGTGGATTCTTCCTCCTCATTTCCAGCGACATGGGGATTGCTTTGAGCTGCCTGTTTGGCAATGTTCTCTGAAGTTCTTTCAGGTGAGTATCAAACCTGGCAAGCAGCTAGTGGGCAAAAGAACTCTGGACAAATGGGAGGCCTATGCCTCTGATATAGAAGAGAGGGTGAGAGAAAGGCCTGGAGGTTATCAGTGTTGAGGCTGACGTGGTTTCACGCTGGGAGGACACGAGAGCACCACGGCAGGGGCTGGTAGAAGTTTTTAGTCCCCTAGTGGGAAAAAAAACTATGAACAAATGACTGTAATCAGAAAGTAAGGATATATTTGATTCTTCATGCTGCTTCAGTCTCTTGGTTGGTAATGAGACAGATTAACACTTTATTTAAACATATGGCAAGTCAGCTGGAACAATCTGTTTTAGTTTTAACCCTCAAATGTACTTTTCACTTTTAAAAGTACCTTTATATAAAAATAATCTTATCTCAGAATGAAATATTCCACAAGTGTCATGAAGAGAAAAACCTGTGGCTTCCTATGTGGGGGGGAAAAGATTTTAAAAGAATCAAAATAGAGCTATCAATATATCCTATATTATTTTGGCTATTAATGCCAATAACCATTCATTGTAAGGTTGAAAAAGAGTATAGAAAGGATATTTAGAAAAAAATTTTTAAGCTTGACTTTGTTAGCCATCAACTTGAATTTCTTATAAATATCATCCTAGAAAGAGAGTTTTGGTTTATAAGAAGGATGGGTTTCTTAAGCTCTAAGTCTGCTGTAAATATCAAGTACTTCCCTTTTTAAAGTTTTATAAAAAAGATTTAAAAAAGAATTGATTTTCAGTAGGTTTACCTATCATTTCAAGAACTATTTGTACTCTGTTCTTTACCATACATGTTTTACAATATTATGGCGATCATTTGTCCTGTCCACTAACATGTAAGTGTTTCTCCTTATTGAGAAGGCTTGCCTTTTATGGTATACTGCACCTTTAAGCAAAATACATACTGCACAGTCATTGGCTCTCACAAGGGGTATTAGTTTCTGTGCAAGAATACTGTGACCCCAATTGGTTAACAACTTAGGAAATGTATATAAACACCATGTGGTGACCCACTTTTCTTATGTCCTTTGTATTGCTGGGACTTAGCCTTTTTCTTCTGTTTTGATGAACCTGATTGGCTTTCTCTTGACGCTGAAAAATAAAAGGGAAAATTGGTACCAGATAAACATTGTGAGCACACGACTCTAGATACACCTTAGATGAATTATATTTACCAAGACCATTATGCTTATAAAAGTACATGATGCTTTGAAAATAAGGGTGCTTGTTCCTGTAAAACCCATGATACCAGACAGATTCCACTATTTATTCAATAAGCACTTATTATATACAAATACATTTTAGCCTATCATTTCAAACTCATTAAAACAAGTCTAGTTCCATTTGGAGGGTGCTCTTACTGTGGTGTTTCTGCCTAGAGTCATTATGTAACTGACTACTGGGTTCACACTGCTGTGGTACTCATGGTCTGAGTCTGTGATAGTGCTGTTGAGTCTTAAGATCTTACCTGGCAACCAATCAGACAAAGGTATATTCTTGTCCTGTGAGCTCACAAGATGACTTATGTGAAACAGTCCTCTGGAGAATTGCTGATTTTTACAAAAGGACACCTTTTCTGTATACCAACTTACACTGTGATGCCGGAGGCTGTAGCTGATATCCAGTTAACTGACACCACCCTACAGGATAGAGGTCAGGGGACTCACAGTCTACCCACTGATCATACTCTTCTTCCCATCCGTCAAAATGTATCCTCAAGAGACGATGAATAATTCGAGTTACTGTGGCTACACATATTAACCGTGGCTCCATGAGATCTACTGCTTCTAATTTCATTCCTACACGAAATCCGTGATTTGGAACATCCTGACATAGAGAAGCAAAACATTACCACTGGTGAAAAGAAGTAGGCATGAGTCCACTATCACCGAGAAAGGAAAAAAAAAGAAGCAATATAACCAAATAACCTAATTTAAACCAAAAAAAAAAAAAAAAAGCTTTAATTATTAAAACATATGAAGGTGAAGTATTTAAGAACTAGTTAGGAAATGTGTTCATTTCTATTTTACTCAGATTAAAAATGAAGCAAAGTCTGAAAACAAGCTTCATAATCTAGGTAAAGAAAATACATTGTTTTATTACTATATATTTATTTATATTAATCTCCATTAAGAAATTCTAATATAAAGCCAAGACATTTTGATCAACAATGATTTGCATTTGTGAGGCATCAAAAAAATTCCACATAACTATTACGCCATTATTTACATTTACCTTATTAAATAGTTTTACTGGTGCTGCAATGGAGCCAGTTTCCCTGAGGTAGTCAAACCATTTAAAAGGAAGTTTTGTGTAACCTGAAAAACACACCTGATTTAACTAGCAGTTCATTTAAAATTAGCAAAATAGTAAAATGTAGATAAAAAGTTAACTTAGTACACACTAAGATCTCAGATTTTAGGTTATATAATAAACTTTTAACTCTTGCTCTAATACTGTTGAATGCAATCGTCCTTCCATGTTATAAGGATTTTCTTTTGTTTCTAGACAGACACAGGTGCACCTACTTACCTAATGCAAAAGTGTCTCTCTCCTGTCTACCACAAGAATTCCAGACTTTTGCTTTTAAAATCCTAGGCTTAGGACAGTCTAGCACTTCATACTTCACAGTGATATTTTTCTTTCTTTGCAAGAAAGAAACCTGGCTGGGCAAATACTATTTTTATAGACCTCTGTTTTTAGATTTTTCCCCCTTCTTTTCTTAAGAGAAAAAGCCAAGGCTCTTATATTGAAATTAGGAAAGACACTGGTTAAGCCTTGAGAGTTATTTAAAGGGTATGCCTTTTTTTTTTTTTTAAAGCCACATGATACTCTAAAGATGGAAACTTGCTTTCCCTCAAAGGCTTTAGCCTGTATCTATTTTTAACAAAAGTTTATGTGTGCAATTACCTACATCACCATCTCATTAGGGCTTAAAGAATACCAATTCATATTATAAAATGTACAGATGCTCAGGAAAAATTCTATACTAATATAATTTATTAAAGCTAGCTAGAATACAGTGCTTTATATTTTTAGAGCACCCCACAGCTCTTGTTGTGTATATGTACGTTTATATATACATATGCACATATCAAAGGTGCACACAGCAGAAAATCCAGGGCTGTGTTAAATGATGTAAATAGATACCATGTAAAAAGAAGGCAAGGATGAAGACCCAGTGTACATATTAGGATGAAGTACCTCTAGGTGGAGTAAGTTCAATCATGTTAATTTCACAGAAACCAACAGGGAAAATAGAAGGGGAGGTTGCATGATAACAGAACCAGTCAGATCCATCTGCTGCTTCTGAGCCATCGATCCCAATCATCAGGAATCCATCAGCCAGCACCTTTTAAATTAAGAGAATTCCAAGTATGTGAAATTAGATACCACTAGTATAAATGCGATCCTTTAAATTAAGTGACATTCTAAAAGAAAGAAAAATCTATGGCATAAAGGTCTCTTCAAAGTGAAAAATGCTTCTTCACTGAATTATGTCAGTAACTGAAATGATAATGAAAAACCTCCGTAAACTGCAGCGTGTACAGAACAAAGGCAGGGTTCCACAGAAGTGACTTCAGGGGTCTAGGACAAATAGTGCCTCTGCCAATGGCTAAGGTGCCGGCTGCTGTGGTCCCCATGAAACAGGCCTGAGTGTTCCTCTCCAATTTAACAGTCTCGTCTAGGCAAGGCTCGGAGTCCTGATATTCAGTGTAACTTTACTTCTTTCCTTCTGATTTAGCACACAGAGGAGTTTTTCCAAACCTTTCCCCGCTTTGTCAAGCCTCCGCTTTACCTCTTATGCTACACACATCCACGCTCCCGTATAACAGAAAATAAGGCCTTCCTGCGCAAGGGTCCCCATACTCCTTTCTCTGCACCCCTGACTGCTGTAAGATGTAGTACCCTACCCCCCACAAACTTTTCCATCTTGTCCGATTACCGCTGGTACTTTGCTCCAAAAACACTATTTCTTATACTCTAATGTCTCCCATTTTCCATTACATTAAAAAGATTTAAAAATACTTTATTTTGAAACAGTTCACACTTACAGAAAAGGTACAAGAACAGTACGATGAACTCGTAGATACTTCACCCAGAGACCCACTGCCAGGTATAAACTACGTTAAGTCTTTGCAGTCTGATTTCTGTCCTGATCCTACTAAAATGCTAAAATCACCAGTGGCCAAGTTTGTCAAACCCACTGCCTTCCCCCCAACATGTACCCTCCTCAAACCTCGGCCTCCCTAAAGTATCCCATACCTGCTCACTACTCTCAACTCTCTGAAACATTTTCTCCCGGACTCTCATTACATTACAGTCTACTGACCTGGTCTCACCTCTCCTGCTTGGTGATGTTCTTGTTGGTGGCGTCCTTTTACCTCCAACCCTTACATTTCTGATCTTGGCCCTTTCCTTCCTGTTTTGGCGATGTCACCTACGCACATTGCTTCAGTAACCGACCTCCATGCCCAGAACTCCTCCAGTTTTATTGGGAGTTTGTCTCCCTTGCAGGGTCTTAGTCCTGCCTTTTCCCTGCATGCTAAACAGATCCTCTGAGAGTCCAGGCAGGGTGTCAAAGCCAGCTCCAAAGGTAAGAAAGCACCAGGTCCGAGGATTCCCCCTAAGGGTAGTCCCTCTATCTGTGCCATGAACTCTCTCCTTACTACACTGAGAACTGCTTTCAGGCTTCCTCTCTGGACAGTTCCCATCTTACACTGCTTAACTTTCCTTTGGTATGACCTCTGTTCACACCAGAAAGCTTTTCCAAGCTCAGAGGGCCTGACCAAGTATTCCAAGCTTGCCATGACGGGGCGCCTGGGTGCCTCAGTCGGTTAAGTGTCTGCCTTCAGTTCAGGTCATGATCTCAGGGTCTTGGGATCGAGCCCTGCATTGGGCTCCAGCCCTGCATCGAGCTCCTGCTCAGTGGGGAGCCTGCTTTGCCATCTCCCGCGGCCGTGCGCCCCCCACCCCACGCTCTCTCTCCCCCCTCCAATAAATCAACAAAATCTTAAAAAAAAAAAAAGAACCAAAGCCTGCATGACCTAGTTCCACATTATCTTTTAGTTTCTATCCCCAAAGTGTCTTTCTCCTAGTTGTTTCTACTACATTGGACATGTACAGTAACTTCCTCTTCAAGCTTAACAGCTCTGCCTACACCTTTGGAAAGGGCTACCCTCACTCACATGAGATTCCTTTCCCCTTTCCTAACTACAGCTGACCAGAGTGGGGACTAATATCTAACCTACAGAGGACCAAGCCAGAGGCTGGGCTCAGCTAGAATCTCTCTCAGGATTAGGATTAACAGACCCTGAGACTGTTGTCAAGTCACGGGCTGGAGCTAGAACTGAAAGCCTATCACACAGAATGGAGCTCGTAGCCACACACGGAGACTGAGTGAGCAGGACTCCGACCATAAGAGTGAAAGACAAGTGGCAGAGACTCAGAGCAGAGAAGAGGTGGGACAAAGAGGCCCTGAGAGATGGAGAGAATTCCACTGGCTTTCCAGTTCTCATCCTGTGGCCCTGCGTGTCTAGGAGACTGTCTGTCCTTGGGATAACTTTCCTAGAGCGAACTTGAGTGGGTTTCTGTTCCTTATAAAAGAAAAGCCTTGGCCAGAATACTCCGTGCAACCTGTTTTTTTTTTCGGCGGGGGTCGGGAAGGGTAGAGCGAGCACATGCACAGGGGAGGGACGAGGGAGAGGGGAAGAGAATCTTAAGCAGGCTCTACGTGTGGAGCCCGACACGAGACTTGATCTCATGACCCTGAGGATCATGACCTGAATGGAAATCAAGAGTCGGACGGTCAACTGACTGAGCCACCCAGGCGCCCCTCAGTGCAACTTGTTTGATGTGTACTGTGTGAACAACTTGTCTCTTCCAAACCCGGCCTATGCTTTCCTATCTTTTTTTTTTTTTTTTTTTTTAAAAAGGCGAGCGAGAGAGAAACAGCATGAGAGGGGAGAGGGTCAGAGGGAGAAGCAGGCTCCCCGCTGAGCCGGGAGCCCGATGTGGGACTCGATCCCAGAACCCTGGGATCATGACCTGAACTGAAGGCAGACGCTTAACCATCTGAGCCACCCAGGCGCCCCATCTTGATGTTTTTGTGCACGTTGTCTTTCTACAACAGTTCCCTGCATCTCTGCTGGGCTGTTTTTCCCAACCCTCAAGGTGAAGTTTTCAAATCTCTTCTCTTCTATAAAGCTTTCCCTGATTCCTCTGAGACAATGTGATCTCTCCTTTATTTGAATTCCAACAGTACTGTGTACCCTTAAGTCACAGTCGATCCTGAAGCAAACTTCTTTTTATATATCTTACCTTGTTCTACAAGACTATAAGCTTTCTGGAGTCCAAACTAAACCTAGTATGGCAAGTAATAACTAAGCAATTCCTTTATTTTTTATTTTTTTAAAAAGATTTTATTTATTTGACAGAGAGAGATGGCAAGAGAGGGAACACAAGCAGGGGGAGTGGGAGGGAGAAGCAGGCTTCCCGTGGAGCAGGGAGCCCGATGCGGGGCTCGATCCGGGGCTCGATCCCAGGACTCTGGGATCACGACCTGAGCCGAAGGCAGACGCTTAACGACCGAGCCACCCAGGCGCCCCTAACTAATTCCTGAGTGAAGTTTGATGCTATACTCATTGGACCCTTCATTCTCGTTTCATGGAACAGAGCCTGGAACAATGGCACTGGTTCCCAGACCTGACTATCAGAATCACCTAGAAAACTGTATCTTATCTTATCTTATCTATCTATCTATCTATTTATTTATTTAAAAGATTTTATTTATTTATTTTGACAGAGAGATAGACAGAAGAGCACAGCAGAGGGAGTGGCAGAGGGAGAGGGAGAAGCAGGCTCTGCACTGAGCAGGGAACCCGATGCGGGACTCGATCCCAGGACCCTGAGATCATGACCTGAGCCGAAGGCAGACGCTTAACCATCTGAGCCACCCAGGCGCCCGATAACTGTATCTTTTTTAAACAAATACGTTACTGTGTGTAATACTTCTTGTGATTCTGACTGAGTAGGTCTGGAGTAGGTCATGGAAATCTGTTTTATTTTTATTTATGTATTTATTTAGTTTTAAAGGTAATCTTTTTTTTTTTTTAGATTTTTATTTATTTGAGAGAGGGAGAGTGTGTGCGTGTGGGGGGCGAGGCAGAGGCAGAGAATCTCAAGCTGACTCTCTGCTGAGCATGGAGCCTGACGTGACCCTGAGATCATGGTCTCTGAATCTCATGACCCTGAGATCATGGTCTGAACTGAAACCAAGAGTTGGGACGCTTAACCAACTGAGCCACCCAGGCGCCCCAGAAATCTGTTTTAAATCATACTAGGTGATTCTGATCACTAGTCAGGTAAAGAGGAAGAATAAAACCTTGGAGCTGGTCTCGTCTAGCTGTGTGACCTTGAGCATGAGAGCCTGGGACATGGCAGCAATCATAACTGTTTTTAATTCTTTTGGCTCAAGGCTTTAAACTGGGTTGAAATGCAAATCACAATTTAAGCTATACTCCTATATAATCAGATTCTGATCAGTGGTTCTTTTTTTTTATTTGACGGAGAGAGACACAGTGAGAGAGGGAACACAAGCAGGGGGAGTGGCAGGGGGAGTGGGAGAGGGAGAAGCAGGCTTCCCGTTGATCAGGTAGCCCGATGCGGGGCTCGATCCCAGGACCCTGGGATCATGACCTGAGCCGAAGGCAGACGCTTAACGACTGAGCCACCCAGGTGCCCATGATCAGTGGTTCTTAACGATGGCTGTACTGGACAATTACCTGGGTACTTAAAAAAAAAAAAAAAAAGCCAATGCTAGGGCCCCCCAGCAGACTGATGAAATCAGAACAGGGGTGGGGTTGGCATTTAAGAGGTCTGGTCATTTGTATTTTTTTTTTTTTTTAAGTTCCCCAGGATATTCTGATGCCTATTTGAATTGAGAACCACTCTTCTAGATCTTTTCATAAAAGGAGTTTCAGAAGAGAGGAAAAAAAGAAAAAATAAAGTATTACCAAAAGAAGAAAAAGGCACAAAAGGGAAAAAAAAAAAAAAAAACAGGAAACTGAAGACAAACTTGGCCATGTTACAATTCTGTGTTGGATTAGCTTTGACCAAGAAGTAACTTAAATATTCTTCTTCTAACTCAGGATATATACCTCATAAATAAAGGCAGCAGACTCAAGATGACAACAAGCTATAAAAAACACTGATATGAAAACTGAAATTTATTTTACTGGTATCCTTCTCCCCAGTGAAGATCCAGATACATACCTTTTATTCAGAATGAGTATGTTAAGGGCCTCCTTCTCCTATTACCTTAAACCCAGTTCTTACAATTGCATTTCTATATTTGAAAACCTATAGTCTTACCTTTCTAATAGTCGCGACACATATTGTGGAAAGATTTAACGGGTCTATAGCTTCCAATTTCATTCCTTCCTTGAACCATTCCCCACTCTGGTCTACTTCTTTTACCTAAAGAATTACATGAAAGCACATCTACTGTTACAAATGTTATCATTTTAATAATTAGAATATTACCAATTTGAAAACGCTTATCAGATGAAAATACCAAATGCCTTCTCCTACCTACCTAATATTATAACTCAAACCTCCATTAGAGGATAGAGAGAATTCAGGCAAACAGACAGAATTTAAGAATAATTATAATCAATAGTTGTGACACCTATGGATCACAAGGTCTTAATCCTTTTAAGTGAATAAATGTAATTGTGATTTCCATAATGTTAGGAAAAAACCCACAACCCTCTTTCAAACCTAATTTACAAATGAGGGTTCTTATAAAAACTTCTTACCTTAGCAAATAAATGTGGTGGTGTATCAAAATGTCCATCCTGTTTCTTTGTAATATCTACAAGGAAAAGTTACATACTAATCTGTCAGCATTTGTGAGAAGACCAAAAACCACGTTTCTTTGAAGGTTTCAAACTCACAAGGTATGTATACTCTAAAACATGGCAGAAATACATGCCTTCTACATTTATGGTGAAAAATATCCTCTAATAGTCTTTCTCTTTTCAGAGAACATGTGCTATTAAATACATTCAGCCGATCAGAATGATGGTAATTCCTTCGTTAGGGAATCACAACTTTAGAGGTATGCTTTAATGTGTTCAGTATTAAGTCTAACCACATTTAATCTTGCTCTTTTGATTAGAACTGAATGCAAAGGGAAAGGCTACCTTTAGATCTTTCAAAAAGAGTGTAGACAACAAATGTAGTTGTGACCAAAAGTGCATTATATCTGAATTGAGAACAAGTGGAAGGAATATAAAGTAGTTAGGACACTCCTATTCTGGTGTGAACCTTCCGTAATTAAGGCAGAATGAGCAGCCCTGACAACTAGAATGCTATTTCTGATCTCTGCTATTCTGTAGAGAAAAAAATAACCAAGCAGTACAATTTAGCCTCAAGGACGTTTTCAACAGGTGGTCTTGTGACAGGTGCTTACCAGATCTTTTGAATCGATGGCCTATGCTTCGAGACCAACCGATATGATGGATTAACGGGCTGTGCATATGGCACCAGAAGTCATCTGTTCTATCTTCACTCTCTTCATACACTAGTCTTAATCTTCCTCCAATTACACTTTCCACCACTGCCACTCGTGTGCGACACAAATGCCTCTTGTCAACCACTTCTACTCTCATGCAAGGTTTGAAAGGATACTGCATACTCTCTGAAACCTTAAACAAAAGCAGACAAGAACTGTTCGGAATTCACGACAAAGGTCTACAAATCATTTCAATACCGTACCATTAAAAATACTGAGTGCACTCGACATTTAACTAGATCATCTAGCTCACTAAATTAAAACAATTCCTTAAAAAACTTCCAGGCTAGTCCTTTTTTAGAGCTCTCAATCGACACTTCAGTCCTTTCTCAGATCCTGTCTTTACCTTCTGTGAGAAATCAGGAGGAAGTGTTTTGGCACCAGTGAGTCGTTTCACTAGAAAAGCTTTCCAGTTTGTATACTTATGCTGAATAGCTAAAACAAAAGAAATAACCAGTTACACTTTAGCAAAGAGTAGAACTGCTTCATAAACTATTAAAAAAACTCCAAACAAACCACAACAATTTTCCCTGCAATTCAGAGAATTAAGGTTCTGAAGAAGAGTAACAAAAATAGAGAAAACAAGTATATCTTGCCGGCATATAAGTTACGTGCAACCAAAAAGTTATTACTGTAATTTTCATATCACTCGAATATTACCATGTGCGACACTGCACTGAAGTACATACAGTCCATCTGCAGTAGGGGTAAAGAGGCTGCTTACTTCTAGGAGGGACGAGAGGCTTTCCACTGGCTGCACACCAGCCAACTGGGTGGATGTCAGAGCCACACACATTGCACCAGAAGTCCAGCCCAGGGTCATTTTCAAATCCTTCATATCTTAAAAGGGCATTGTAACCTGAAACCAACAAACCAATCACCACAGAATAAGAAAATGAAATGAAACCGAACAGGACCTAGCTGCCGGCAGTGGGTGTCAGATGTTAGTGCGCGCCCGCAGCAGAAGCCCGCGCAGGGCCTGCGAGCAGACAGATGGCCGCCCCTCCCCCACTCCCCCAACTCGGAGACTGAGTTAGTAGGCCTGGGGGCAGAGTGAGAATATGCATTTCTAACAAGTCCCCGGGTGAAGCTGCTGCTACTGGTGTACCACTCAGACTTTGAGAACTGTTTGTATAATGTCATTATAGTTTAACTGTTTTCAGAGCATGGCTTCCCCCCTTGTAATGTATTTTAATTTTACCCACAGTTTCTTAAATTCTAGAAAAGAAATTCTCAGTGGAAACAGGGGTGGGGAAGTCCTACCAGAACGTGTAGTTTGGAAAAGAAAAGAAAAGGAGGTTACAGTAAGTTGGTAAAACCTTGTCAAGTCACAGAAATCCAGTTAAAGTAACATTTCAAAGAGACTGCTTTGTCTATCTGATTAGATGACCAAATATTTTTGGATAATTTGGATGGGGCTACCTCAAGCATCAAATTTTTTGTCTTATTTATTTGGAAATAAAATGTGAAAATGCTAGGTGAAAAAGTTCAATAAACACAAATAAGAAGTATGTGAAAGGACTTAAAGACTGTACGTACTAAGCGAATGGGAAGCCTTACTTCTTAGAAAGAACAAAAAGTATATAATATATCCTGTCTGTAATTTAATAAACCTTCTGTTGGTAACAGATTACAATTTAATTTAAGGCCTTCAGGAGAATAAGAAAGGCCCAATGAACTTATATCCCAGGCAGGGAGCTAAGTTCAGTCAGCATTTTCCTGTGTTAAGATCTAGGATGAAAATTTATAGCATTAAACCTTTAGTTTTAAAATTCAGTAATTTACAGAATAATTCATGAGTCTGCCAACTGTTGCTGAGCTCTAGTTCATGATTAACATCAGGCTCAATTCTAAAATGTCATTAAAGTGGCTTAAATAAGATATATGATGCAATTAGATAAAATCGAAATGTAAAATTGGAGATGGAAGGTAGAAATAATTCTTGGATATTAAACACATTGATCTTTCGAGCTATTTAAATGCAACTGGCTTAAACATCTAGGACAGAAAGAATATGTTGTTTTAAATTACGGTGTAGAGACAACACAAGCATTTAGAGAATGCTTATAATAGCTGGAGGAATGTTTCAAGGAAAAGCTGGGAATTGAATTGGGTAAAATGTCTGTGCAAAGGCACAGAGGTGCTAACATGCTCTATGAGGGAGGAGGGAGAACTCGCCTCATCAGAACAGAGAGCATTTCTGCTGGGAAGCAACCAAAACTTTGGCCAGTGGTCTATGGAGCAACTCATCAATAGCTGTAAATGCCGACCATCTCGATCCTTTAAGGACAAAGAAGTAATTAAAGATGCTTGAGCAGACATAAAAAAAAAAGATGCATGCCTGAGCAGAAAAATAGAAGATCATCTTTAGTAAATCAAGTCTGTTAGCAGTACGTAATAAGTTGTGGGCAGGGTGTTTGGGGGAGAATGGCTGGAGAGAGGAAAGAAAGAGTAGGCTGCATTAGATAGCTCTGATTTAAGGACAACTCATCTGAGTAGCTGCATGCCCCATCCCCGCCGCCTGGTAAAGTACTACAGGGCCTCACTGCACCACTCACTGAGTGCCTCGTCATAGATGCAGTCAGCACTTGGCAGATGGCAGCTCACAGAATAAACTAGGTCTGAGACTTCTGCACATCACCTGCCCATAGTGTCTAACACAGTACATACCTAAAGCCTTTATGTGATGAGCAATAAGGTAACAAGGAGTAGGGTACATGGAAAGCAGTGGGAATGAAGAAAAATAAACCAAGATAGATGAAATTATCAACACTAGTTTACTTTTGGTATTATGGACCTTACCACTCTTCTTAGCACCTCAACTTTTTGTTACTTTTCAAAGTATTTCCCTATACCAGAGTTTGGCAAACTATATAATGGCCCACAATCTGGCCTACTGCCTGATGTTTTTTATAGTCTGCCATTTCAGAAAGGTTTTACATTTTTAAAAGGTTGAAAAAAATCAAAGGAAGAATAACATTTCATGATATGTGACAGTTACATAAAATTCAAATTTCAGTGCTTGTAAATCAAGTGTCACTAGCACACCGCCAAGTCTATTCATTTACGTATTGCTACGGCTGCTTTCTCGCTACGGTGGTCGAGCTGAGGAATTGTGACAGAGACTGTACTGCCCACAAAGCTAAAAGTATTTACCATCTGGTTTTTTATAAAAAAAAATTTGCTACCCTTTGCCCTATTATCGTATTTATTATTTATTTGGCAACACTTGCAAAATTTACAAATACGCTTTCTTACAAGTTACAAAAACATAACTGGCATTTTCTGGTAAATTATTACGTGTGCTTTCACCTGCTAATTTTACAATTCCAGCAATCCAGAAGACTTTGGTAGGTAGGCTGCAGTCTGTATTGGGAACTTCTACTCTCACATTTTCTGAGATATCACCCCAGCAGGTCCCCATAGGTGCCTGTCATATAAAAATTATTAAGTTATCATCTAATTAACATAAAGCCCAAAACACATTATTTAAAAATAAGCATTCCCATCAATAACGGAAATTTTAAATTAAAAATGCCATTTAATTCATTTTTCTCTAAAAATAGAGTTGTTATTTCCCTTTTCACAGAATTCTATTTAGAAAAAGCCAGTGTCAGGGGCAAGCTCAAGATGAAGACAATTTCACATATATTAGAATAGATAGATCCATGTCAACTTCAAAATTCAATACTGTCCTAGTATTAGACCTAAGCAGCAATTTTTGTAAAAGCTATCACACTCAATAGATTTCACAGGATAGAGCAGAGAAACTTGTTATTTTTAATATACGCTGAATGAATGCACTTTACCTTAACCTCTAATTTTAAAGGGTCTGTCCAAAGAGCAGAAAGAAAAATAATTCCAATTGAGCAATGTGGTTTCCACTAACAGGAGAAACAAAACTTAGTTATCTGTATTTTCAACTTAAGTTAAATTCATAAAACAGAAGTATAGTCTGTTAAAACAGACATGTGGCGAAAGCACCTGATAAAGTTATTAAAAAGGTGGAGTTGAAGAGTTTTTAGAGATGCATACCATGGTAAATTGTTAAATAATTTATTATTTCTAAACAAAGAGGAAATGTTCAATGTTAGAACTGGTAATCACTAGCCTCCACACCACATGGTTAGAATGGGGACTCAGAAAGCCGATTAAATGAGTATCACGAAGAGATTTTCCTAAGTCTAACATGCCCAAATTATAATTCCCATTACATTTTAATCCTTAAAACTTGAGGCCATTCACAATTATTTGAAGTTTATGCAACGGTTAATTAAATCAAATTAGTGAATTTAGGAATATAAATGCTGATAATACTAAACAGTCTCTGTGGCCTTGACAATCAGCTCCTCGTTATATATATAATTTAGAACCTTGAACATAGAGAAAAGGACTGGATTAGGTTATAAAAGACCTGATAATACCAACAAATCAGGAAAAGACAAAACAGCTTCAGAGCTCAAAGATGACCAAACAAAGACATCTAAGAGTTACACGATCTAGCCTATTTGAACATTGGGTAAATGTCTTCCATGTAAGGTTTCTCATACTTTGGTGGATGCCAACCCACAGGAGGATTAGCCTAAAACAGTACTTAACCCCTATCCTCTCAACAGTTCATGACATTTCTGAAGGAGAGGAAAAAAGGTCAAATAATCCTGAACTAGAGTAAGTCTGGATACCAAAGACAGAATCAAATTATGGCTATTACTTTAAGTAGCACAAGCAATGAATGTGCCTCAGTAACTTGGAGACAGTGGCCTATCTCAAATATTGGTGATTCTGGAAGGGTACATGTAACTATCTCCCTGAGTTGTGCAAAAAAACAGTACATCCATTATGACTACCACTTTCTGCTGTTTTTGAACTGAAAGACTGGACTCTTCAGGTTCTGCTATCTCCCCCTACATCATTCTAGACTGTAGGGCCATCCCTATTGCCAGCAGATACGATCAGAAAAGGAGAGGCTGGAAGGATGATAGGTAACGCAGATTAAGCTAAGATATATTAACATAAAGACCATGTTTTCATTTCTGTGAGGATGAACCAATTAGAGCAGATAGATGCAGCTAAATGTATGCACTAAATTAAGGCAGGGTATCCACCCCTCTTTGTTTGGCTGCCAAATCTTGTGGAATGGGTTTATTTTTTGTTGAGAAGAAAGAAGCACGGTTATGCTGATAAACTGGGGGTTAGGTTGGCATACTACTAAGTGAATTTGGCATACAGTACTCCTCTTAGAGCCAGATATGACAATTTCACCAACTTTTTTTTGGCCTTAACAATTATTTGCAGAAAATAACTTTTAGCCACATTTTATTAAAGAAAATAAAGTGTCAATATGCTCACTTAAAAAATAAGGATAATATTCACTTTATTGGGGTAATGTTTTTGTCCCTACAGTCTGGATTGGTATAGGAGAAAGTAGCAGAAAGTGACATTTGTTCTTGCCTGTAAGGTTGTGGTTCTGCTAGACCCTCTTAAACCAATCCATATGGTTCACTCTAAGAAACAAAAAAATGAAGGAACAGAAACAACAAAAAAGAGCACCATAGTTTCTACATAGCATGTGCTCAATGTGTTGAAATAATAAGGTAATTTCACAGATGTATCTGCCCTTTTGTTTAAAATGAATACTCTTAAGTGTGGAAGACTAAATGACCCAGGGCTTGACAGCCATCTTCATCTAAGTCATCTGTCTTCTCTTGCTGGCAGGAGGGATACCTCTGAAAGTCTGGATTGGCATAGCATGAACTAGCAGAACCATAATTTACAGGTAACAACAAATTTACCTTCCAGACTCAGGACGAGAGGTCCACCTCAGGCTCCTCCCAAATCAGGAAGATCTGCTTCACCACTTCCTGCTCCAGGGCCACTCGTGAGGGCTATCTGGGAGCGACTCTCCTTCCCTGCAAGGTAAGCTGTCATCAGGTCCTGCAGGACATGGCCAAATCCAAATGCTGAGGGCTCCCCAGCACAACTGAATGATAACCTCCACCTGACTGTCGTCCATAAAAAATAACTGGGTGGGAAGTCTTATTTTCTGCAATTCAAGAACATTCCCAGATAGTCCAACAGCCCAGATGGCTAGACTCTCAGAGGGCTGATACACTGCACATATGATGCTTCATGGCAGAAATACAAATTTCCCTTCACAGAACTGCCAACCTATTTTGATAACCACCCACAATCTTCAACAAGTGGGCAGAGGCTGGCCCTGAAGTTGCACATAGGTAACCAAGAAAGAATCTATCCCAATGATGGTATGACAAATGTACAAAAAGCCACCAATGAAAGACTAAAAGGCATATGATTAGTTCATCTAGTAGAGAAAGATGAAATACCATCTGGCCAAAAAGGGAAAACATCACAGGAAATTAACCGGAAAGAAAGTAGAACTCCTAAATGCTACCTGCTGGAATTGGTAGGTTGAAATAGGAAAAAAAATTGTTCCCTCTTTCTCCAGAAAGTCCACTCACCTTTTGACTGGACACCAGAATCTACTTTTTGAGGTGGTGGCAGCAGGATGAGGGGGACTATAAGGAGAGTATAAAAGGAAAATGGGATGCGTGGGGTGGAAGCAAGATTAAGAATGGGAGAATGCTATGTGTGTGTAAAAAGGGATAGGAAGCAGTGACCACTAATTTGAAAGGCATAAAATAGCCCACAATTTAAAAAACCAACAATGTATTAAACCAATACTGTTTTAAGAATCAGGAGATCCCAATAGAAAATCAAGAACTACTTTAGAAAACAGACCAAAATTAAAATAATCTAGATTATTTAGGCTTTCTTTAAAACATAAAAACAAGACAGGTGATTTTTATTATACCAGAGTCCAAATTCTATTTCATGGCGAGACCTGTGGCAGCTAACTCAGATGAAGCACTAACAAGTGCCAGAAACTAACTGAAGTTTTATTTCCATCAGAAAAGAAATTCTGCAATCTAGAATGACATACAGAAGATTCTAACTTTAGTGAGAATGGACACAAATATTTCAGCTTCCAGTGGAGTCATGTGTATGTGTGGTCAAGGCTAGGGGAAAAAAGCCAAAACACAATTTTAATTGAAATGGATTATTTTACTAATAAACACATACTTGATAAATAGATCGTGAGTTTTACTATAAAGAGAAACAATACTTTTATTATACATACACAAACAAAAGGACTTTCGTTTTTGACCTTAAAATACAAAAATATACTTGTGATATATGTTGTAAAGAAGTGCGGATAACCTTACCTTCTCAAAACACCTGGCACACACAGGTCAGGCCTCAAAGAGAGGATTAGAACACACCATGTAAGTGATACCAGGTTATCTTTGTGGAGGCAGTAAAGTCAGCTTTAAAGTTATGGTATACATGTGTACAAAGGGCCTTTTTTAAAAAAATAACAAAACTACAACTATTATCAAGGGAGAAAAAAGTAGGATGAGTTCTGATCTTAGCAGTAAGTTATCAACAGGACACCAGAGTATATAGTCCTGTATCAAATGAAAGGAATCTCAAGTCTGTAAATACATGACTAAAGGACTGATTTCTGTGTTTCACATCCACTTGATATTAGCACATTTTGGCCTGTGCTGTAATGTCTAGAAAGAAATGTTTTATTTGATTTTATAAGGCAAGTAACAGGAAATAGGACTGCTTCAACTTAAAAGTCTACAGTCTTGGGGGGCCTAGGTGGCTCAGACAGGTAAGCATCCAACTCTCTTGGTTTTGGCTCAGGTCATGATCTCCGGGTTGTGAGACTGAGCTCCACGCTGGGCTCTGCGCTCAGTGCAGAGTCTGCTTGAGATTCTTTCCCACTCCCTCTCAGCGCCTCCCCCCACTTGTGCTCTCTCTCTAAAATAAATAAATAAAATAAAATCTGAAAAAAAAAAAAAAAAAGACTAAAGTCTTTCAAAAAAATGAAGAATGCTTTAAAGCTCAATGTTCTGCATACACATTGATCAACTGGAGTCTCTCTTGGGTTCAAACATAAATTACTAGAAAAAAATCACCTGTGAATTTCATGTATACAGTGTACCTAACTGGCATTGGTACTGCAGTAATATTTTTGATTTTTCCACAGTTAGGATAGATATGGATACTGCTTTTAGAGGTTGTGAAAAAAATAGGAAATATATATAAAATCAGTCTGATACATATATCAGTCTCTGCCCCTGGTTCCTGGCACAAAGCTCTTAAAACCTTTGTAATTTCTTAAGTGATAAGACCACTAGGAGCATCTTTTGTTCTCATATTTGGTCTCTGAGCCGGGTCCTGACACAGAGCTCCTAAATCCTTTGGAATCTCTTAAGTGATAAAAGCATCTTTTGTTCTAATGAGGAGACTCTGGGTGGGCTCCTAGACAGCCTCAGGATAGGGGCTGGTCGCCAGAAAGACCAGCCTATGAGGAGAAGCTTAGAACCCTCAGCCCCAGTCCCCATCCTCTGGGAAAGGGAGAGGGTGTGGAGTTCATGATTGATCATGCCTATACGAAGAAGCCTTCATCAAAATCCCAAAATATAGGCTTCCCCGGCCATCCGAAAGTAGATAAAATCATAACTATAACCATAAAACCTTTTGTAAGCCAAAATGGCATAAGGTGAGGAAGCACTTTTTATTTCCTGAAAGCAAAAATCTGTTTCTGATTTCTTTTGGTTAGTGAAAACAGGTACTAATGCAGGCCTTTCATAAAAGTGAAGTGATGTAAAGTGGACTTTCGGATAGTGAGGGAAATCTGTATACGGGGTTCAGAGAGCTTCTGGGCTGGTGATCACATGGGGGTGCTAGGAGAGTGGCACACCCGGAGGGGGCATGAAGTTCCATGCCCCTTCTCACAGCCTTGCCTTACGTATCTTCTCATCTGGCTGTTCACCTGTATTGTTTATTATGTCCTTTATAATAAACTGGCAAATGTTTCCCTGAGTTCTGTAAGCCATTCTAGCAAATTATTGAACCCAAGGAGGTTGTGGGAACCCTGATTTACAGCCAGTTGGTCTTAAGCATAGGTAACAACTGGGACTTCTGATTGGTATCTGAAGTGGGGCTAGTCTTGTGGGACTGAGCCCTTAACCTGAGTGATATGATGCTAACTCCAGGGAGACAGTGTCAAAATTGAGTTGAATTGTCAGACACCCAGCTGGTGTTAAAGAATTACTTGATGTGTGGAAAACCTGCACATCTGGTGTCAGAAATATTGTGTGGAAGCAGTGTATGAGTAAAAGAAACACAGGAACGTTTTTCCTATGGGGACTTAAAAACCACATTAAAAAAAAAAACCCAAAACTTTAAATTATGGAAAGCAGGTTAAAGCCCAAAATTGAAATATAATCCGGCTACTGAAAAAAGTAGCAAGAGTTTCATTTGCAACAAGATGAACTAGATGATTTTTAAGATACTTTACAGTTTTGTCACCGTATGATTTAGGATTAATTAAAAGTGTTATTACCTAATTCAGTGGTTTCCAACCTCCAAGACTGCCAAGGAAGGGGAAGCCAAGGATCAGGGGCCAAGGCTCTGGCCACCCCACCCCACCCTTGCTAGATCAATCAGTGCAGCTTTCTCTTATCCTAACTACGTCTATTGGGAAAAGAGTAATAATTCTGATGCTTACACAAATAAACCCCAAAAAAACCCAAAACCAAAAAAAAGAAAAACTCTCAAAACTACCAAACTACCTGGACAAAATGAAAGATATACTAGATACATGACAATCATGACATACAGATTTGAAGTAGGTAATCTAATAACAGTTGAGACTCAATTTCCTTTGCTAATTATAAAAAATGTCAACATTGCTGTAACTGAGTGACTGAGCAGGAAGCACTGTGCATAATTACAGCAACTATCAAAGAGGACACAGTCCTATGATATACTTTGCAGAAACTTCATTCCCAGAAGTTTAAAGATAGACTGTGGGAAAAAAAGAGCTCCACTCCTGAAATCCTGTGATTTTAGAACTAATCACAATCATATTTAAGTGCCGGGAAAGATAAAGTGTTTGTTTACCTGTGATCCTTACTCCAGAAGAGGCTGGGTTACGTTAAAGAAGCAAGGCGCTCAGGGCTCGGACACTGCTCCCAGGCCCAATTCTTGGTTCAATCAGAGTAGTTCTACTTCCATGTTACACACTGGATGTTTCTTAAAATTATGTTTGAAAAAGAATCCCCTATGAGCAGGAAAAGGCTCCCAACCTATGCTCAAGTTGGGGACAAGGCAGATGTGGAGTCTGGCGGAAGTGGGCCTTACTGATGAACCAGTGTTAGGGTGGGCAGTTTGAGTCTTAGAAGACTCCAAGATGGATGAAACAAGGCAGGGCCTTGCGCTCCCAGCAACTCCTGACAACAGACTTTCTAAAGCCAAAGCCAGTTAACTCTCCTTGGAGACTTGGAGTAGTAGAGAACTACTCGGGGGAAGAACCAGGAAGAGTCAGCTCTAAAGGATAAAATCAAGTGTAGCATGAGGTCTGACGGAAACCAAATGGCTTCAAATGAAGATGGTGATTAAGGCAACAAAGCAAACTCATTTGTACTAAAATAAAAATTACCGATATCAGTTGCTTTCCTACTTGATGAGAAAAAGGCAGTAAAGAAAGATGAGTGGCGCAGGAAAACACTGGGTGGCAGATGCTTTACTTCTGAGTGAGAAACGGGAGCCCACACAATAACCTTATTAATAAAACAATAAGGCTAAGCTGCTCTAATCCATATGATTACTTTAATCTTAAAAAAGCAGAACTGAAAACAAAATCAGTTTCATTATTATAATAGAGATTTTCTTACAAAGAACTTTAATATACCGGACATGAAATAAAATATGCTTTTGGGATTTTGAAATGTTTTTTAAAAAAATACCTTGACTACTTACATAATGCAGCTTTACACGGTTTATGGTATCAAAATATAAAAAAAACCCAGAATATTAAAGACAGGAAAAGAGATAAAGGCTATTCAGAAGAGACAACAAATGTTCCAGGTATCTGGGATGAAGGAGTTATTGTAACTGAGAACTTAATCGGAGTCTGAGTTTCTCAAAAGCAGAAAGAACTAGAGAACGAGAAAGATCTGCTTTGCAGTTTTCTTTAATGTTGCTGTTGCTGTGTATTTATTTAATCTATTTCACAAATGTAACACTACTATCCACCTTATGGTGAAGTACATCACCTACTTGACACACTCAGTAAAGTATCTAGGATCCCTTTTAGGCTGCTTCAGAGTCAGCATGCCACCAACAAGGGGCTGAACAGCTGTACTTTCAGGAAAGTAAACTAGCAAATTAATGAACTCAGCTTTGGTTTACATTCTTACCACTGATTTCATATGCTTGGCCTTGATCAAGAGTCTGTATTGGCCGTGAACAAATGAAAATTCATTTGGGTTTCCACAGCAAGAACTCAAGCTCAGTTTTGTCCACATGCTGTTATTTAAAAGTAAAGTCCTAACTTAACAAAATGTTTAGTGTAAGCAAAGTTTCATTCATTAATTTTCTAAATTCTCTTTTCTTTTTGTACATAGTAGCAGATAGAAGTTTTTTTTAATAGCAGGCAGAACCTTTAAATATAAATTAAATGCGTAGTAAGGTCAAAAAAGTATTGGAGAGAATTAATCACAGATCACTGAACAAAAAGGAACAGGATCAAAAGGAACAAACATCTTTTTTTTTTTTTTAAAGATTTTTAAATTTTATTTGACAGAGAGAGAGACAGTGAGAGAGGGAACACAAGCAGGGGGAGTGGGAGAGTGAGAAGCAGGCTTCCTGCCGAGCAGGGAGCCCGATATGGGACTCGATCCCAGGACCATGGGATCATGACCCGAGCCGAAGGCAGACGCCGAACGACTGAGCCACCCAGGCGCCCCCAGACTTATCTTCTGATAACATTTTTAACATAATTCTGAATTACTTCACATACTCCGTAAGAATCTACTTGCCAAAAAGAACATCCTGCAAAGGGTTTTCCAGTATGTATCATATATTTCAGCCCACAATGCTGTATTACTAATAGTTCCTTGTTTTTGTGATTTGTACCTTTGTAGACAAAACATAACTGGAAGAAAGAGCCTTCCTTTCCCTAACTGTCAGGTCAGATCACAAAGATTCAGGTAACACGCATGATGGATGGTTTGTATTACGCTGGACCAGACGACACAGCCAGTACACACGAGATACAGACCCAGCCAACTGTGTATGGTTCAGCTTAGTATGAAAATTGGAGGAGACTAGTATTTTTCCCTATTCGAATAATTTCAAATTATAATTTCTTTAAAGGATGCTTTTACTTGTAGAACTTCTAGAAATTGTTTTTATTACTAATAAGTATAATAAAAAAGAAACATTTTTAAGACATTGTACAAAATAAAGATCTTCTAAAGACAAGACACTTAGATGTATTGTGTCTTCAGGTTTAAACAATGACTAAGCATTTCAGTAGGAGGTGAGAAATTCCATACTCACATGTTTAAAGCAGGTAACTGGAGCTGCTGTAAAGCTATTGCTATTGATGTAGTTACCCCAGCTGAAGCCTTCCATGGAGACTGCTGCGGAAAACAAATAAATTTAGGTATATTCCAATTCTCAAACCTTTCATTCACATGAAAATGAGAAATGATATAAAATTAACTTATCACCTTGAAAGAAAGTTTTCTTTTTTCCTGTACAGATTTAAGAACTTTTCTAAATACACATGAACTTTTGCATAGATCATATCTGCAAACAAATAGTTTGTGTTCCACACGTAGCATAAGCTGCTTGGGAAGTGAAGTAAGAAAGAGCTCTTCAGTAATGAGCAGCAAAGCGGAGAGCAGAAGTGTTCAGGATAACAAAGAATGCCATGGCTGCTTTTGGGTTTTTATTCCCATGCAGCTTTTACTGGGCACCTCAAAGAGATTTCTAGCCAGTATCTGCTACTGATGCCTTCAGGGGGTTTTTCATTGCTTTACTTCCTGCTGCATCTCCCTGCTTCTGCTCTCAAGAATCTTCTATTAGAAATGATCCTTTCCTCAATCTCTTCCTCTTACTACTCTCTTCTCCCCACTCCCTATAAAGCTTGCTAAATGTCCTCTTTCTTTGCTTTTTATCTCCACAATGCTCCCCACCAACCACAGCATACAGAACCTGTACACAGAAAATAATAAGCCAAATAAAAAATGTTAGGGGTACTGCCCCAAGCACTGTGAACTTGTGAACACAACAACGCTCTTCTAGAATTATTTATTGAAACTAAAACCATCATCATGAAGCCTAATGTCATAATGTACTAGTAGAACCTAGAAATAGCTTAGTTAACAAAACCCAAAATTAAAATGTCATTAACTCAAACTAGATGAATCAGTATCTAATATTTCACCTCTATTACATTCACTGATATTACCTGCTTTAGTCTTTGCTTGATTTTGCAAGGTAGCTTGATACTGAGCATATGCGGCTAGTTTAGCAACTAAAGGTTGTTTCTGAAGAACTTTTGCTTTCTTTGTTGGAGGCTTACCCTAAAACAAGAAGAGTTAAGTAAATAGGATTCTTTTTCATCCACCCCCCTCCACCGAAAAAATTAACCTGACTGCATACTACCCATTCTGCTTAAGTAACATCAAGGGTTTAGAAAATTATTAAAGCAGAGGAAACATACAAGGACTTTTAATGTGAGAAATGGTTTTGGAGTCCTGCTACAGTGTAGATGTCTAACACGGGTAGCAGGGCTGGCGCAGACTAAAACAGCAATATGCAAATTAATATGTTAATAAAAAATTACATCCCATAAGATGTTAAAATATAGGCTGTGGTGGATACTTGATTCCTTCTTATACTAGATAAAACCAGTGGTTATTCACTCATGCAGGTTGCCAAGCATTGCTATTTTTATGGTAAGAGAAGGTAATTTAATGTTTAAAGAGCAAGTGACTGAGGTTTATACCTTTAGTGCTAACGCAAAAGATCAATGACAAAATGATCATGGGCCAAATTCACAGTGTGACAAACTGCCATCCATTTGGGTACAGACCACTGCTCAGGATCTTACGTACTGTCTATCTGAAATATAGAAATACATCTAAGTGATGTATTTCCTTAATTTGGGGAATTTATATAATCCTTTCAGTGCTATGTAATGATCACAATAAGTTAAAAGGAGAGTAAGAAAAATGTGATCAAATATATTACAGAAATCACTTAAATGCCTTAAAAACCTTCTTTATAGCTACAATGGTAACAACTTAGTCAAATGATCAAATCTCCATTTTGTAGGCACTGATGTACATTTAAAGAAAGATGAATTTTTTTATACCATGAACGTTTTCAAAAAGGTTAGTTGGATTAACCAAACACATTTGTTCAAGGTATCAAATAGGTTGCAATCAAAAGTACAAAGCAAAGATGATGGAGAGATAATACCAAAGGGTAAATCATTTCCCCCCAAATATTGAATGATTCTACCTTGATGTTAACTCAAAAGAAAACAAGGGGGAAAAACGGCTTCAGTTTCTGTATATAACAAGGTGTTTATTGTATTTATACTTATTTAGAAAAAGAGTAAATATTTTTCTTTCACTTATACAAACAGTTTGGATACTATGCCTTGTCTGTTTATAATAGCTGTTCAATTTTATAGACTGAGCAAACTCTGGGGACCACATATTTCAAAAAAAAAATGTGGGGTATAAAGTGGTAACTGGCCAACTGGGTAGAAGTGGAGTGCAGTGAATCACGATCAAATGACAGATAAACAGTGAAAGCCATAGAAATAACAGACATAAAGAACAAGAAGGTTTCTGTACCGTTACCTGAAGTCTGGCCAAAATGCTTGCCTTCTTGGAGTTTGACGAATAGCTTCGTGAACATGAAACGCTACAGAAACGCTTTGTTTTGGAGTAAAAAGCATCTCGCACACCAACCATCCCACACATTTCGCAGGTAGCTAATTAAGAAAATAAAAACAGTGGTGTCATGATCATAAAATAAAACCCATTTTTTACCTGACAGTTTTAATAACTTATTATCTAAAGGTTTTAATTTAAACATGAGACAGAAAATGTCTTGTTACCCAAATGATGGAAAAGCCTCTACAACAGTTAGAGAAAAGACTGGTACAATGCCATGGCTGCAGTTCCAGAAAGTCTGACCATAGCTCAAGGTCTAATAGGCTTTACAAGGGTCTAAACCACGAGCAAATATAAAGCAGATTCCACTTACATGTCCTTAGTGCTTGCCATGTGCCAGGCATTTTCATATACACTAAGAGCTCTAACTTTCTGAATGGATTATAAACAAAAGATGAAAAGAAGTGCAACGCAACTGAGGATTAACACAAAGTACAACCTAGAAAGAGCCAAGTCTTGGAAAAATGCTAAGGGTAACAGATTTTTTCAAGTTATGTTCAGAGGACATGAAGGACAGGCTCAAAGCTTGAGGAAGGTGCTTGATTATTCCCTTTGGTAACAGAGGAAAACAAGACTCTGACTACTAAATGTGCCTCTTTTGTAAATTCGCATACTGGACAATAATCTGAAAGGCAGAATTAGAAGAAGGGTCATTGTCATAGAATATTATTCATTCACAAAAAAAGAAGGAAATCCTGCCATTTGTGACAACATGGTTAAACCCGGAGAGCATATGCTACGTGAAATCGTGTATGGGATCATTTACATGTGGAGGCCTAAAAAAAAAAAAAAAAAAGCCAATTTCATAGAAACAGAATATAGAATGGCGATTGCCAGAGGCTGGGGGGGAGGGTGACATGTAGGTCAAAGGGTACAAAGTTTCAGTTATAAGAAAAGTAAATTGTGGGGGCGCCTGGGTGGCTCAGTTGGTTAAGCGACTGCCTTCGGCTCAGGTCATGATCCTGGAGTCCCAGGATCGAGTCCCGCACTGGGCTCCCTGCTCGGCAGGGAGTCTGCTTCTCCCTCTGACCCTCCTCCCTCTC